CCTTTCTAAGCTTTAATATTCACAATATTACGTTATTTTATTTTATTTTTTTAAAGGGTTCACAGCATCATAGCTCTGCCCAAATAAGAGCCAGCGGCCATGGGTTCAAATCTGACCTTTGTCATCCCCAAACTCTCTCTTCCTATTATTCATTCTCTTCAGCTGCCTAATCACCTGTATCATTCAAATGCATAAAGTGAAGAAATAGAAAATATAACAGGAGAGCCACACTCTCTGGTCACATTGGATTGCAATTGCTTCTTTGTGTGTGTGTGTAAAAAAAAAACGTCACCTTCTCTTTTTCACAGGTGGCAATCTCTGTTTTCTTCTTCTCCAACTCCGGGCCGAGTTTGGCCACCACAGCCTCCAGGTCCCACAGCTCTTTGCTCCTCTGAGTCAGCCGCTTCTCCATTGTCATTTTAATTAATTCTACATTTATGTATTGATTATCAACTCTCTGTTTGTACATTTCCAGCTTTTCCTGCCCCTTGTCCATGATTTTCATCACTTGTTGTTGTCCAAAAACAATCACCAGGATACCCATGGATACCAGGGAGGACAAAATGACACAAATCCACTGATACCGCATGGATGCTGATTGTAGGCTGTAATGCAGAAAGACTGAAATAAAGAGAGGATGATGACAAATGTGCAGTCAAAATGATGTGCACAGTCAAAGCTCTTATATTAACAAAAACATCTTCTTACCTTTTTCGTAATAACTTCAGCTTTAGTGTCTGCTTTCTTCTGTTCACTTGTTTTTTCTCTCTCTAGTTGCAGGATTTTTAGCTTGGATCTTCCTCTTCACACTTTTCAAACTGTTGCCCCCTCCCCTTTCTTTACAGGATGTCGGTGTGAGTTTCACAATGCAAACAGGTTGAGCAGCTCATTTTACAATTACTGGGTTAGGGGTTAGGTTGATGTGTGCAGATATTTAAGTGATGAAGAGTACAGCTAGACTCTGGCCAAAATATAAGCGGGTGAACGGGTTATCTATGAAAGGAAGTTTACAAAATGAATTGATGAGAACCCCCAAAAAAAACTTTTAGTATGAATGAGCAGTGTGCACCAGTTTACAACCACAACGTCGGAAATAGGATCAAAATGCTGATTTTGCATGTTCTGATTTATCTTGATTAAAAAAAAAATAGAAATCTTTTATATATATTGCTAGCAACAGAGTTTGATTTGTTCGTTTTCCCCCCCAAGTGTAACCTCTCCATCAGGAAATATTGACTGATAATTTTTTTAAAAACATGAAAAAGCAGATTGATGCACCTGTTGTTTTAAAGGTGTGTTGCGTCGAGAAGATTTTGGGACTCATGTTCTGAACATAATGAACATCATGGAGCATTTAGCAGCTTCAGATAGTATTTTTATTAACATATTCGGCTGGATCAAAAGTAAAACATTGAAGAATAAAATAAAAGGTTAGTGAGAAAAAATCTGTACCATTTCAAATATTTTGTTGCAATTGGGAAATATCATGTAATGTCCTGAGTCTAAATCAGAAACCCCTTTAAATGATCACTGTGCAGCATAACTTTTCACTGACATTACTGTGCTGCTAGACCTCTTATCTCTTACAGGTAATGCACACATCCCTGCCCTGCATGCATCAGGATCTTGTTTTGGCATTTCTGGTCTGACCGGCCTCACTTGACTTTGCAAGACAATGTGGCTGTGTTATAAGGTAAAGGCCCTTTCAACTCTGTTAAGTCAAGATGACTGCAGTGAAAAAGTCTTTTATAAGTTTTATACATTTATTTTTGGGGTGGGTTCCTATAGGGAGAGCTCAGTGTGTGGATCTGTGTGTTTGGTTAAGCCTGGACTGAGGAACAACAGTCTTAAGTACTGTAAAGGACAGATGTGATATTTTCCTGGGGATGCTTACAAACTGTCCTGCAGCCAAGCAGTTGCAAGCCAACATGGTCAATGATCAAAGTTAGTAGCTTCTCTTAGCAGCACCCTCAACTGCCAATGAGAGAAACACATTTAGATAAGAAGGGTTATAATTTTACAATTCACTTAGCAGATGCTTTTATCCAAAGCGACGTACATCATAGAGTGAGTACAACACTAATCCATTCATACATCGGCACCGAAGCAGCGGGAGCAATGTGGGGTCAAGTGTCGTGCCCAAGGACACATCGGACATGTTGCTCAGCTGGGGATCGAACCCTCGACCTACCGGATGAGCGGCCGGGACTTGACTTACCTGTAGATAGACTTTCTTTTGGGGGTGGGGGGGGGTTAGTTTGATCATTTAGGGCACTAAAAACCTTACTAGGATTAGTTATATATATATATATATAAAAAAAAAGCTTCTGCTGAGTTCTTTGTGCAACCTGTCTGTGTGTGCCTTTTTTGATAGTCTTGATATCCAAGATCTTGATGTGCAGCTTTTGTTTAGTCGGGAATCCGTTGTAATCGCAGTATACGCTCTTTGAAAATGAACACAATCAAGTCTGTGGGTTTGGGCGGGATCGTGGGCGGGTATATCCTTATCTTTCAGTTATTTTACATTTTAAAGAGATTTGTTGCCACAGCTGTGTGATTTGTGACTGTATTGAAAAGATGAAAAGCAAACATTTATATTTTTTGCAGTTCCCCTTTTTTCCTTGAGCAGCTGTGCAGCTGTGGTCCCAACTGAGCCACAGCCGCCCCTAGAAAGGTTTCAAGAAATCAATTTCTGAAAGTTACAGATTAAATAAAGTGGATTTGTGAATAATAAAGTGAATAAAGAAACTCGTTGAGATTTTGAAATAATTTTCTCAAGAGTGTCCTGTAGCCAAGACAGAGAGCAGCCACACTTACAAATGATGACACGCTCTGTAACAGCACATTGCAGACAGCAGGACTAACTGGTTGAGTTAAGTGCATCCTTCATTCCTCTCATTCATTCCTTTTTGTAGATAACAACGTAATACAAAATGTTCAGCAGTTTTGGTGGTGACTTCAAACAGTGCTTTGATAACAGATGGCTCACTCAGACAGTTTCTGAAAAACAGGTGGTGTAAGACTGAGTTTGGGAAAAGATTGTTTTCATGAACGTGCCATGATCCTCCCACACGTTATCCAGTCAGCAAAACAAACGTCACAGTTTTGTTTTATTTCATTTTTTTAATTTAACCTTTATTTAACCAGTAAAAAGTCTCATTGAGATTAAAAACCTCTTTTACAAGAGCGTCCTGACCAAGACAGGCAGCAGCACAATTACAGGGTTTCAGACATAAAACACATAAATACAGGAATCACAAAAAGAACCATTCATCAGAATCTGTCATAAGTCATCAGCAACAAAGTGATCAAAAAGGGCAATACGAGTTAGCTAAAACATCTACAGTCAGATATTTCTGCCTCCAGATCATTAAGACCACCTTTAAAAACATTCAAGTAAACCAGCTCCCCAAGATTTAAAGTATCAAGTAGTACTTGAACGTCCTTTTTCCTAATTCAGTACGGGCTTTAGGGATGGTTAGAAGGTGTAAGTAACTTCCATTACTTTTTTGAAGTATGTAGCTCTGTAGATAGGATGGAAGCAGACCGAGAATACCCTTATAAATAAAAATATGCCAGTGGTTTAGTCTACGTGCTGACAAGGCAGACCAACCAACCCGAGCATACAAGGAGCAGTGGTGAGTAAGGGCTTTTAGATTAGTGTTAAACCTCAGTGCCCCATGGTAGACAGTATCCAGTGCATGTAAATAGCATCGCCATAGTTTAGCACCGACATAAAAGTGGCAGCAACAAGTGTTTTTTGGCCTTAAATGAAAAGCAACACTTTGTATATTAGTTTCTACTAAATCCTACACTGAGTTTTGACATATATCTCAAAGATCAGGTGGACATCAGTTTATTCTTTGTACCTTAAAAGTTCTGTATTTTAATGTCTCTCTTCAGTGCAAAGATATTTTCAGCAAAACTAAATGTGTGTATGAACGTAATCGTGCAGAAAATTCAGAGTGTCAGCGTTATGAATAATACATTCATTTGTTTGACATTTACTGAAAAGTAAACAGTTCTGACAGTTTAGCTGCCAGAGGAATTATCAGAGTAAAAAAGTAAAATACTCCAAATCACTCAGCAATGTGTGTTGAGGAAATTATTAAGCCTTGACTTCACACATTAAGACTCAGTTGACTCAGATGGCTTACGTTGATGAAAGTTTATACATAAGAAGAATACTCATGAGGAGACATGATTCAACATCACACTTCTGTTCTCGTGTCTTGCTCAACCACATCTGCAGAACTTTTCGAAAGGCATCGCATATATCCTAAAAGACATTATCATTATCAGGGTCACATTGACCCACCTAGACTAAACTGTGACGTCTATAACACTGGAGCAGACAACAAGTCTACCAAACATCCTTACAGATATCAGGAAGAACAGCTGACACTCTCTAAGCTGTACTTGGTTTCTAATAACAACTGAACTCTATCAGGTCTGACTGACATGAGAGAACAATGAATAAACCTAATGACATCTGTACATTATAATCTAAATAACTACAGAAATTCCACCACAATGTGGTTTAGCATTAAAAAAAAAAGGGAAATACAAGAAAGTAACAAGCACCTGAACATCTTATTTTTAGTAGTGGAGAAAATTCACAAATGTACTCATTTACATTTCAACACAACACTTCTGCAATTATAAAAAAATAAGAAAAGTATTTAGTATTTCTATGTAGTCTTGCTATTGTTCATCCAACATCACTGTCATGGCTTACAGGGACATTTTAAAACAATGGCTCCATCATCACTGTGACTGATCACACCTGTGTTTTTCTTCTGATGACAACTCATAAAAAGGCCTGTCAGAACCTGTATCATCATTTCTCTCATGATGTGCTATCCACCCACTCCCCCCTTTTCCATCTTCATGTGCCCTCATCCTTTCCTCCCCAACTTCCAGGCATGTCACGCCCACAGTCTCCATCCCCTCGTATATAATAAAAGCCGGTCACTCTCACTGAGAAAACATCAGTTTGTTGGAGAGAATGCAGCGATGATTTCAATGGGATGCCTCACAGGATTTTGGATAATTGCACTGCTGACTCTTCATGGATCAGATGTGGGAGGTAATTTCTTACAGATTCTGAAAACACTTACACTTCATTTTTGATAAATAATATTGCACTGTTGTTAACTATGTTGTTACTTGATTTTCTATCTCCATAGAGTCCAAAGGAAACTCTCTCAATGAGCCTGACATCCCCTTCCCACCTGCTCGTCCTACCCCTCAGAACCTCGCTGCCATCTGCCATCAGGGTCAGGGTCGTCCCAGGTACCCGGCCAGCTTCTTCTCACGCTCCGGTGGCAGCCGTTACCGTCGCCTTGGAAACACCATCAACCGTTTGGAGTCCTGGTACAGGTCATGCTGCAGCGAACAGGAGAGCCAGATCCTCTGCTGCACCACACAGGCGGTGAGTCTCTGCATGAGATTCTGAGTGTTTGAGGAGAAAAAGAAAACACAGATTCAGACAAAAGGATCATTTTATTATTATTATTTATAAATATCACAGTTAGCATTAAAGATGAGAAAACTGTACTGTGCCGGATTGATGCAGCAGTTTTTGGATCAAGTATAAACACATATATAGGCTACTACTAAATTTTCTCATATGTACAAGAATACTGTTATTTCTTACTACAATCTCCCCCAATAGTTCAACAACTGCTGTGACCATTCATAAAAAAAACATACTTTGTTTTATATTTTAAAGTGCTACATAAAGCACAGACACAAAAGAGCTGGCAGGCCGATATATTTCATGTTTTTTTGGTTCTCCTATGCTTTTTTTTTGTTTTTGTTTTTCAGTTTGCTCCTCTACACAAAAATAATAGTTTAAATGTGTATTTGTTCTCATGAACTTACTTTTCCTTTTTCATCTTTTCTTTTAAATATGTATTGAACCAGTCATTTTGTTGGGGAAATATAAGATTAACAAAAAATAAATAAAAACGAGATAAAATACTATAAAAATGTTGTAATATTCAAATAATAATGCAGAATAGTTATTTCTGAATTTAAAAAAAAAAAGTTTATTTGTGGCCTTTTTCTTGTTGAAATATAAAAATAGTGAAAATAAAAGTGACTCTCCTTGCAGCAATTTAACTTACCGCGACACATAAAGTACCTGACCCTGAAAATAACTCAACTTTTAAAACCTTATTAGAACAGCAACAATAGATAGGCAGAGTAGAATACAAATGACTTTCTACCTTTTCTGTTATTTCTGTTTAAGTAGTTTACTGCACTCAAATAGATTAAACAGTGTGATAAAAATAATGAGATAAATAAAGATAAATAAATAAATAAATAAATGAATAAATAAAGATGCTGTATCCTTTTCTCTGACACTTTATCTCACGTTAAAAAGAAGTGAAACGTTTGAAGATAAGCAGCCTTTCTCTTCTCTTACAGTGGAAAGAGACCCTGTCTCAGTTCTGTGTGGAGGAATACTCGACGAAGACACTTGCATATGAGTGCTGTGAGGGCAGAGGAGACGCACGCTGGATCTGCTTCAACAGCGAGCTCCCAAACCCAGACTACAACCCAACACTAGGGTACACTGCACCAGCAGTCCCCCCACAGCCAGAATTCACTTTCAATGCAAGTGCTTGCTAAAGGTTCAAAGAGGGTGCAGTTTGATACAGACATCATAAGAGTAAAAGTATATGGTGGTACAACAAAGATTTTTGGAGAATATTTTGGAATGAGATTAGTTTAATATACTCAGATGTAGACACAAAGAAAGAACAATAAATGCTTTTTTTTTTTTTTTTAATACTCTAGCTGACAACTGAATGTCCTGCAGATTACAGATGTTAAGAGGAGGACAGGACATGCTTGTTGTGTTACTAAAGCATTAAGAGCACAACAGCTGAAGTTGATTATTTTGACCCGTTCTAGACTATGGGAAAAAACCTTATTAAGTTGCATGTGTTACCTGTTATAACCCAAAAACATTTTGGCCTGAGTAGCTTTCATGGTTTCTGATGTAGAATTCTTAGTTAGAAAAATAAAGATGGAATAAAGACATGAAAGTTTCCATGTTTTTTTTCTGTACGATGATAGGCCATTTTCCAAGTTGACAACAAATTTTGTTTCAAATAGTAAAAAAAAAAGTGTGAGTTTATGGTTTTAGTCTTGAAGTGATGTGATTAAAAACATTCAGACAGCTAATACCACAAGTGTCCACCAGGGGTCACTGTTGGCTACCATGGTTGGAGGTGGGCCATTCACACATCAGCGATGAATGAGAAAATTTTAAGAGGGAACGTGTAGTGTTTATTAATTCAAATATTTGATCAATAACTGGTCAATGTCTTATATCGTTCAGACTGGCACGTTTATAGACTTTAAATAGTGGGTACGCACCTGTGATTGAACTTGGATGGTCACGTGATCCAGACCCACAGCAACCAAAAAATGACAAACAGTTCCTGCCTGCAGGGCTTCAAAATAAAAGTGGACAAATGTTCTGGCCCTGTAACACTTTGAGTTTGAGAATAAATGTGTAGAGTCTCAAACTGTTTGTGGCTTTGAAAGGCAACCTGGGTACAAGTTGAGGGAGTTGCAACTTCACATCAATGAATTTCAAAGGTCAATGCTTACATTTTGAGATTTTAAACACAAACCTATGATGAACCCAATGTTATTACAGATTAATCTACCCGAGGCAAATAAAGGACTAGCTCTTCTTTGACCAGCCTGATAAGTTTGTTAACATGTTTCTTTATTGTTAGCAATAACACAATATTAAAAGGCTATCATATTATACGATACAGCGAATCAAAGAAGGGAGACACGCTTTTAGCAAATGGACTCAGAACAGTGTATGCTTTAATTGTTATTATTTTAGTATTTCGACTGACTTGAATATTTACCTTACCATTTAAGGCTGTACTTTAGTATTAAAGAGCAACATTTTTTATAAAAAAATGTTTTTGTTTATTTTATGGTCTTCAATCTAAAGTTGTGGGTTACTATTACTTTACAGTTTAGATAACAATCTGTTGACATATTTTGCACTGTGTAAGATTGGACAATTCTCACTGCTGTGGCTTTTCAATGGACAATTCAGGGGGAAATCCTGGAATCTATTTAGATACAGCTATTCGATGTAGTAGTAAATATTTATTTCGGTCCATGACCACAAAGCATAGAACATACACGAACAATAATAATAATAATAATAATAAAAACAGTGGCCGAAAAGGTGTAGGATGAAGTCGAGGCTTATTATGCCTCCCCTTTGACATTTCATTTATCTAGTATATCAAAACAAGAATAGCTGCAAAAAAACAAACAAAGTAACCTGATTTCACAAAACAGAAAACTGTTGTCAGTTAACCAAATCAAAACAATAAAAGGAAAAAAATAAAATAAATGAATACATTATCAATTATTATTATTATACATTATACATTATCAATTATTATTATAAATTATCAATTATTATTATACATTATCAATATTATTATTATACATTATCAATTATTATTATACATTATCAATTATTATTATTATTATACATTATCAATTATTATTATTATACATTATACATTATCAATTATATTATAAATTATCAATTATTATTATAAATTATCAATTATTATTATTATTATACATTATCAATTATTATTATTATACATTATACATTATCAATTATTATTATTATACATTATACATTATCAATTATTATTATACATTATCAATGTTATCTTCTATATCAATCATAAGGACGCATTTTTGTTTTCAGTCTGGACTTATGCACACAATGTTCTTATCAGTCTATATTTTAAGGCACTGATGGTTTGAAGAACATTCTTGTTTTATTCTGAAAAACATTTCTCCGGATGCTTTGTTCTTGCCATAGAGTTCTATGGTCTGAACACAAAACTGCTGCTTCCGCACTGCTTCCTTGTTCATAAGTTTTAGGGAAAACAAGTGCCTTAAGAAGAGGAAACAAAGTCTGTTTTCTTTCTTTCCAAACGGTTGAAGCTAATCCGAAACGCTTTGAAGTGAGTTCACAGTTTGTTTGTGTTATTGTTTGTTTGTTATCGGGCATAGCAACGAGACAAGTTAGAAAAGTTTAACCAGAGTTAGCAGCTAGTTAGCATTCTGTTTCCTTAACTGTCGCAATTCAAGCATGTCGGTAACGTATCATGTTAGCCTCTTCCAACATGAACTTCTATTAACTTTATTTTACTCTGCTTACAACAGATAATAAAAAGCTAGTTTCTGTTAAAGTCCACCGTCAGTCTCTTTTTCTCTGTGTGTGTTTCAGCAGAGCCAGTCGACGTGGCTGCTGTCAATATTTGTAGCATGAAGTCATCTGTGCTGCGTTGCCGAAACCTTTGGAGATACTGGTTTTTAGATACCGTTTGTGTTCACAGACCCTCCATGACGGCATTTGAGCTCCAGCACTGAATCCAGGATCTAACATTTGTTTACACCACAAGAAAGTCTGAGTTCGGGTTCAGTTCTGAATGGCCACAGCTGCAGAGGAACCTCCAGGGCTGCAGGGCACCTCTGGATGTAAGTAGTCATTGTATTATTATTATATTTTCACACCGAATTTCCCTGGGAGTGATACACCAGGTGTGTTTTAACAACGTTGTTGGCCACAGAGTTGACAGCGATATTGACATTTTGGTCCTTAGGTCATACATGTCTTGGCATGTCAGCAGCTAACGAGACACTGTCAGTTGTTTTCTTTACTTAAATGGTAAATACAAACATCTATCTTCATGGTTTGATAATAATTCAACACGTGTGACCCTTATAAATGTCATCCTCTAATGGTCTTCAGTAAACACTGAATGTTCTTGCACATCAGTTCATTCCCTCCAAAGGTTTCTCTTTTTATTCTTTTCCTATCAGTTTATTGGATTTTCACACAATATAAAACAGTAACAATGACATGAAGCACAACATAACTGAATGGAAAAGATAGGCACAATGGAAAACGAAACAAGAAGAAGGAAACACCTCATTTCTGTTTCATAGTTCATCAGTGTGCCTCCATGTTTACATTATTATTTCCAACTGGGAGTGACCCGTGCTTGTATTCAGTCCTAAAGGGTTTCCAGGCCAAGTATGAAAAAACTTTTTGACAGCATATTTTAATTTTTATTATGGAGATTGGTGGTTTTCAGATGTTCATGAATACGTATTCAATACTTTTCAGAACAGCGCTGATCCTGGCACAGCGAAGTACAGTACATATATTTTTGTAAAAACAGAGAGAGGGTTATCTTGAAACCTTTTCACAGAACACATTTTTCTTGCAGTTTATCCAACAGTTAAAATGTAGGAGAGGGAGAGATGACACATTGTTAGAAGTGTAGAATCAAGGTTTCACAGTTTTTATTAAAAGTTTGACAGAAGTGTTGACTTACCTTGATAGTTTTATTTTTAAGTGGTGCTGTTGACCTTTGTGGAGTTATACTATGAGATGTTTCAACATTGATTCTCCCCTCATTGGAAGACATGCCCAAAAAAAGAGAACAAAAATAAAACAAACAATAGTATTGATAATGGGTAGCAGAGAGGTCAGGCACATCAGCTTATAGAAATGTGGCCGTGTAACTTCAACGTTTTAAAAGCTAAATACTGCAAGTTTATATTGTTAGCCAAAAGGTCCAAATTGGTGCAACTTATGAGCAGATATCCCAGCTTTTTAGTCCTGAGTTTAGGTCAAGTTCTGAAAATTCTGAATCCTACATTTCCCAAATCGCAACCCATATTTGTCAGCGTGGCATTCTCCTTTGTCTTTGTTTTGAAGACTGATGAACTGGGTGACATCACAATGACATCATCAGAGTTACTACCTCAGACTTAACCAAGCTTTTCACTGTTGTATAACTGATACTTTGAAATGTGATTTAGGTAAAGGTCACCAAATGTTCTTTTGTTTTCTGATATCAAATTCATTTTGAATCTCTGGTCAGGTGGTACTTGTGTTTTATTAATTTCCATTCAGCTCTTGTTAATTTAACATGAACGTAAACAGATTCCTGGATGGTCATCAAACATTAATCTGCTGTTTCTTGATGAAGATTGTCTGTTTGGGAATCTATGAGGTCCATTGTAGACTTAAAGCTTCATGAAATCCAGTTTTCTTTTACATATATGGAGGCATTCATTGGCCCTGTCTGAACTCTCATTAATAGTAATAGCATACTTATCTAATTCCTCCCACTGCCCACAAAGACCTGCAGAGTCAGTTGTGGAGGCGACTCTCTTCTCTCAGAGGTAATGATCGAGGTGCGTCTGCATGTTTGTTTTAAAGCTGAGCTGCACTCTTTGTTTTAGGGAGTGGTAGAGGCTGCTTCAGGCTGTGCTGTCTGAAAATTCATGCACCCAGTGTTCAAATTGAATTTCTTGAATTAACTTACATCTGTTCCTCTTGTTGTCTTCCAACACAAACCTCTTTGTTTTCTTATTCTCTCACTCCAGATTCGAGTGGGGTGAGGAAAAATGCTTCCCCCGAGGTAAGAAAGAAGTGATTTTATTTCTAAGGAAATGCCAGTAATTTAAGACGCACATCATTACATTTTTCTCACACGGTGAAGAATTCACCAGTGTTTAGCTGACACAAACTCTACTCCTTCCTCTTTTAAGACATTAGCAAATACATGTTGTTGCACACTTGCATTTCCGTTCCTTTTCCTGCACTTCGTAATTCTCTGTCTCACCTCGTTTGCACTGACAGGGACCGAGCACAACAATGTCTCCCAACATGAAGAAAACCATCGGCCATCGGGGAATTGATCCAACTGGTGAGACTACTTACAAGAAGGTAGGAGAAAAGCTCTCATTGTAGATTGCATGTAGATTTACACACTTCAAAACGCAAATAATACTATAAAATATTCAACCACATATAAAAGATTTTTGATCCTCCTCTTAAAAGTCTTTTTTATAGGGATTGCCTAACACTTTTGGATTTGGATTTGGAAAATCTTTATTGTCCCCGAGGGGCAATTTGGTTTGCAACAGAGGTCCATACAGTCAATACATCCATAAAAAACAGCACAATGACATAAATACATACATATAAAACATAATTACCATGGATATCACCATGATGGACGTGAGTGAGTTAAGTGACAAAGGACCAACAGTCCATAGTAAAAGTGTGCAGGCAACAATACCTACAGCTTATTTAAAAACCCAACAGCTGATGGAACAAACGACCACAGGTATCTATTTGATTTCGACCTCCTTACATAAGTGAACCTGTCTAAACTCTGCATGCAGGGGATGCTGAGGGTCTTCCATTCTTTGTTAATGAATATAAATGGATCTGATGTACCAGTGTGTCAGAAATCACTTTTAAAGCTCATCTACGTAAGGCAGCAAACTTATACTTGTGAAACCTGTTTTTTCACATTGTAAATCAGAATCTGTATCAGGGTGTAAGTACATTTACACATACAAGGAATTTGATCTGTATTGGTGCTAAACAATTAACAAGGAAATAAAGCAGAACAAGCAACAACTTAAATAATATAGTATAAGAAGATATTACAATATATAAAATAGAATTTAAAAATGTAAAATATAAAAAACACAAAATGAACAAAAGGTGTAATGTAGGAGCTGTGCAGTTGACTATGAGAACAAATTAAATGGGAGATTTTAAAAAACGTGCATTATCATGTGATTGTGATGATCTGCAGACATTAACAGGCAGTCCAGCACGTGACAATAAATAAGTGATCTACCAAACACAGACTGCATTTGATACTCTCTCTTCCAGACGACCTCGTCGGCCCTGAAAGGAGCCATCCAGCTAGGCATCACGCACACTGTTGGCAGCCTGAGCCAGAAACCTGAACGAGACGTGCTCCTGCAGGACTTTGAAGTAGTGGAAAGCTTCTTCTTCCCCAGGTGAGTCTTTTGAATAATGAAGTAAGGATTGTGTTGTTAAGATGATGAAAATGAGTGCATGATTTCCTGAATCAGGATGTTGTTGTCTGCACGATGTTAACCTCCTTGTTGTAGTGCTGTAAGTAATCCTCCTGCCATGTCCGTCTTTTATCGTCAGCGAGGGCAGTAACTTGACGCCCGCCCACCACTATGGAGACTTCAGGTTCAAGACGTACGCCCCAATCGCCTTTCGCTACTTCAGGGAGATGTTCGGCATCCGGCCTGACGATTACATGGTATTCTCGCTCGCTCAGCATCTTTAATTCTGCAGAACATGGAAGTGGTGTGGAATGAAAGTGTTGACTCACTTGAGGTGGAGCAGGAGAAGCTGACTGCTTTGAAACTCTTTTATGTGAGTTGATTATTTTGTTTTCTTATCACATGTCTTGACCTCTGTGCTCTGTTCTGGTTTCAGTACTCTCTGTGTAACGAGCCCTTGATTGAGCTGTCCAACTCTGGAGCCAGTGGATCTCTCTTCTACCTCTCCATTGACGATGAGTACATCATTAAGACGGTGCAGCACAAAGAGGCTGAATTTCTGCAGAAACTACTTCCGGGATACTTTATGGTACGATTTGATGTGAGGGCTTTAGGTGCAAGAGAATGCATCATGTTAACAATCAATTGCACTTACCACTTTCATTACCCATTACATGTAAGAAAAGTCTCTCTTTTCTAAGATCAGATAGATAGATAGATAGATAGATAGATAGATAGATACTTGATTGAGCCCGAGGGAAATTCAAAGCATCCAGTAGTGACATGAAACATTTGTTAAAAATGATCCACAAAACCGACGCCCCCCTCCCATACATACATAATAACCAGAAAAAAAGATTTAAAGAATACCCCTAGATGAATCATTTTTTTTTAGCAATGTTTAAAAAGAATAAAATTATCAAAAAACAGACATTAAATAACAGTCAGTGTAAACATTAAAGGTGTGATTTAAATTTAAATAATTTAGGTGAGACACACATTTAAAAAATGTAATTGTTTGGGGATCTTACCTCTGCATAATTACACTTTACAAAACTAATTTGATGTCTTTGCAATTAGATACCGCTATAAGGTGTACTCTGTGTCATTCAAGGCATCATTAATGAGGGCTAATATTCATACTCTTTCTTCATCATTTTATTTAAATTTTTCAGTTACATCAGTCACTTTTTGGCCGCTACATTTCCATTCAATATTTAACTTTCCTTCCGCCCTCCACTCTGCTCTCCTTCAGAACCTGAACCAGAACAAGCGGACCTTATTGCCGAAGTTTTACGGACTCTACTGTGTCCAAGCTGCGGGAAAGAACATTCGCATCGTAGTCATGAACAATCTGCTCCCGAGCACTGTACGGATGCACCTCAAGTACGATCTAAAGGGCTCGACCTACAAGCGACGGGCCTCGGCTAAAGAGCGAGAGAAGGCCGTGCCCACGTACAAAGACCTGGATTTCATGCAGTACATGCAAGAAGGGCTGCTAATGGAAGTGGACAAGTACAGTGCGGTTTGCAAGACCATCCAGAGAGACTGCCTGGTAAAAAAAAAAAAAAACTGTGCAAAACATGTCAGCATTTGATCGTCTTCCTTAGTTATCTCTGGTCTCACTTCTCTTGTTTTCTTTGATTTCCATTCAGCTGTTGCAAAGTTTTAAGATCATGGATTACAGCCTTTTGGTTGGAATCCACAATTTAGACCAGGCTTGTCGAGAGCAGGCCACTGAAGAGGCGGGGGCCGCAGCCGCAGACCAAAGGAGACCCCAAGGCCAGAAGTCCCTCTACAGCACCGCCATCGAGGCCATCCAGGCTGAGGCAGGAGGAATGGGATCAACGGGTTCAGAGGACCAGTGAGTGACAATGTTTATGTTTCTCATAAAGTTTCTGCTTTAAAGAATGGAGCAATAAATTAATTTCTTCACGTTTTGTTGCACAGAACTGGAGGAATCCCAGCACGAAATGCAAAAGGCGAGAGGCTGCTGGTGTATATTGGTATTATTGACATTCTGCAGTCCTACAGGTAAACGGATAAGTTTGTGTGCATTTGCTGCTCATTCAGTCAGTGACTCTTAAATGTCTACACAGTCAGTGTCTAGAACTCGTCAATGAAACTCTCATTCATAGAAAATGCTTGGGATGTAGTATTTATAGAAAAAGTTGTACTCTTTAAGGATTGTTCCAAGAATCATGGGAGTGATATCTTCCAAGATTTGACTAAAGAGCTGAATCTGTCCAGTTAACATGCACCAATATGTGTTTTTTTAAATAAGCCGTGCCGAATAGAAAGCAGACTCAAAGGAGGCTATAGTGGCAGCTGGTGTAGTTTTAAAGGCTGCGTCATACACCTGCATGACGCTGATAGAATTAAGTGCTGAGCATGATCCAAAAGCTAAGCACCATCTCTTTAATAAAAAGCCATCATGATGAACTTTAAAGACGATCATTAAAGTGAAATGTTCCTGCTGTGAACATGTCATGTTGGTTCTGTAACTCCCTTAAACAGTCCATTTTTTAATGTGTGTTTCTACAGATTAGTAAAGAAGCTTGAACACTCGTGGAAAGCTCTGGTTCATGATGGGGTAAGGTACTCTTTGTGTCCTCAGTACATTGTGTTTTAAACTATAAAAAAGAGATTGTAATTGTAACATGTGTGCCTCTTCCCTTTGTTTAGGACACTGTGTCAGTACACAGACCAAGTTTCTATGCAGATCGCTTCCAGAAGTTCATGTGCAACACAGTCTTCAGGAAGCTCTCATGTGAGTTTTAAAAAAATAGTTTTTGTATGTGTGAATAAGCTTTGAACATCCGGCAAAGCAGAGCAGATCACAGTGAAGTGAAGTTCTCTCAGTGTATCAGGGCGTTTCTAACACTCTGGTTATTTTCCTGGCCACGCCTGCCTGCCTGAGGCACTTGGATAAAGGCCATGGCCAAAACCATTAGCTACTGTCACTCCCTGTCATGACACTTCAACAGTTTTGGGAACTGATGGCATGTTTTCCTCAATGAAAAAGTATCATTGTCTTGTCAATTGTTCTGAAATTTAAATATGAGTACAGCAGCTTAAATTTTTCCATCAGGAGCAGATCATTACTCTTATGTTTAAATTACTGTTTTTGATGAGGTTTCTTTCCATCATCAAGGAGATCCATCTTCAGTTCAATAAAGGCCAAATTGAAAGTGTTGTCTAGTGTTTTAGAATATTGTATTTTATTTCTGTGCTTCTGAGATTATTGTTTTTATTCAGTTACATTTTACTGAATCAGATACAAATAAACGGCTAAATTGTTATTTAAAGTGGGGCACTCCAGGTGGTACTTTGAGGAGACTTTCCATTGTATCACAAACTGTGCAAAATGCTCAGTTATAACCACAAGTTAAATGGTGACATCAACACAAAGGTGTCTGTGGTTTTTTTGCAACTGCCTGGAGCCTGTGGCTTCAAATTGAATTGTGTGAGTCAGGTCAGAGCAGATTATTTGGTCAGTGGCACAGTGCAGGACTTTAATTTATTGTGCTATACAGCACAGATCCTCTAAGTTTGGCAAATCAGCCGTCTCTATTAGAGCTACACATTTTTGGAACTCCATACCGGCTAAAATCAGAGAGTACTGAATTTAAATTTAAAATCAAATCTTGGCTCAAATCAACTCAATCGTGTCCTCATCACACATAAACACTTTTTCATGAACTATGTTTGATAATGTTGTAGTGTATTGATACAGTATGTTATTATGGCTTTGTTGTTGTGGTGTATTGGAGATATATGTTGCGGTATAGCTGTGTGTTTTTAGTGTAGTTTTTAAAGTCAAGTGCTCTTAGCCTATTATCGTTTTAATATAATGTATGAATTTCACTGTGGACTAGTGTAATGCCATTGTTCAGTGGTTGTGTAATGTCTTACTGTTGTGACGATGTTGTTAGTGTATGTTTTGTTTCTTCACAGAGACATTGTGCACTGCCCAGGGACTACAGATGTAAATTAGCTTATACCTAACTCTGGTACAGCGATGTTTTTCAGTGAGAGATTTCTAACATAAGGTTTATTGCTTAGATTTGTAGACTCCTTAAAATTTGGTGGTGCACTTTCTTTTTTTGTGTCCCTGTCAAAATAAACAAATAAAAAAAAAAAATTATAATAACACTCTTTCTCTTGTATGTAGTAAAGTCCTCCCCATCTAAGAAGCGTCGTGCGCTGACACAGGGTCCTCTGAGGAAGTCAGCTGGCTCTGGGCCTTCTCTGTCGACACAAACAAGCACCAACAGCCAGCACGCTTTCCTCCAACATCAACTCAGTTCAGACACCAAAGAAGATGCTGAAGTAGACAACGGTAAGCCCTGGAAAAAGGATTTCAGCTTTCAGCTGGAGTGCTGAAAACAACTTTTGTTTACTGAAGCTGGCAGAAATTCAGACCTCATGCATGTACCAGCATGCAGTGTTTCTTTCCCAACACAGTATTAAACTTTTTTCCTTCCTCCACAGGCATGCAGCCAGGTCGCCCCGACCTCCTCCCTAACACCTCACTGCCAAGCGAAGGTGTTGGCAACGCTTCTGAAACCACAAACTCCTTCTCCTCCTCTTTGGAAAACTCTGAATTTGCTCCCTCTAGTCAGCCTTCGCCTCGCTCTCAGAACAGCAGCCGGTCGGCGGGAGTGGATTTAAACAACCTGTTGATCAAAGCCCAGGAGCACAGCACCCCCAAGAGGTAAGAGAGAAAAATACACGTAGATCAGTTTTTTTTAAATATTAGAGATATATTTTTTCAAGGGTATTTTTCTTACATTATGCCAGAATTATCACACCACAAGGGATTCTATCGTTTCTAATGTGAGATCTACAACAAATCAATAAACCCGAACGCTTAACATAATGTGCTCCTAGACAGGCAATACAGGTTGGCGAAAAAATCGATAGAGCATAGTATCGCAATATTTTGTGAGGCGAAATATCGATTCATGGCCGCCAAGTATCAATATTTTTCTTATATTATTAGCATATTATTGAGATATTCAATTTCAACAAGTTGCATTGTTAAAAATTCCTGCAATTGTACAGTCGTCCATACATGTTTGTGTTCAGTTTGATTAGACTGAAATACTAACAGATTGTGGGATACATGCTGCCTTTTACAGGGTTTCACTTTGATCACAGTCAGTCTGTGGGCTTGACTCCCATTGTGTAGAAATATATATATCGTATCGCGATGATATGATATCGTATCGCGATGATATGATATCGTATCGCGATGATATGATATCGTATTGGTTCTCAGCCTGTTTGCCTTCTATTAGCTTGATCCAAAACAACCCGTTTAAGACATGAGAGTCTGAACTAACTGTGGGAACTAAGGCAGAAATATCACTTAACCAGAACTTCAAGAAAGTCAGCATGTTTTAAAGCAGCAAAATACCACAAATAGGTCAAACAAATCTGAAGTAAATCTGAGTTCCTCTTAAAGGAAAACAACACAAAGCCAGTTTTTAATATTGTATGAGGGTTCAGATGTCTTACTCTGCCCCTGATTTTGTCTGCAGCTCTCAGGTTGGGCCCCTTGAAGACAGCATTGGTTCTGTGGATGTGATCTCTCTTAGTGACATTGTTCCTAATGCAGGCAAATGCTCAGTAAGTAGAAAAAAAATCCTCTCCGGTTTACACTTTTTTTTAACTTTTGCTGGGTAACCAGTTTTATTTCTTTTGCTTTACAGGTATAGATGTGGTAAAGAATTATGGAACCAAACTAATGGAATAAAACTTTGAGGGCGTTATGAGCGTGGATCTAATGTTACAGCCACCCACTCCCATCCCCCACCCACCCCCACCCCCGGTGTGATTTGAGGTACCATGAATGAAAATCTGTGTAGCAGAATGACCAAGTGGGATGTTGTTTTCTTTTTTGTTCTTGTCATTGTTTTTGCACTTTGATTCCAAATATGAACTTGTTTGTGTGTTGTTATGTTCTGACACTAGTAATTGTGGGTACATTAATGCTGCGTGGTTATCGAACACTATTACTCATCTCAGAGGAACACTAGGATGCACAACCAAAGATTGTTCTTGGCACTGATGTGCACGATGTGAGGACGTATTTCTGAACAAAAGTTCTTTACCCAAGCCTAGTTGTTCAAAATATATTGTCTGAATTTTTTTTGGTATAAATTTCTGTTTTATGAGTACGAAATTGCTGTAGCATGTCTTAACATGTTCTGCTCGACTCTGTTAATTTCTCTTTCACCACCCAAAAGCCCAAATGTTTAGAGTATCTGCCAAATTTTCCACTCACATGCTTTAACACAAAACCGTTTGACTTGTATTGGGTATACAGGTTAAAATAAAAGGATATATTTTAAAAGATATTACCGTATTCATAAAGGGTAAATGGACAAATTTCAAACTTACTCTGAATGCAAATTATGCTGGAAAAAGCATTGATTCTCTTTAACCAGGTGTTGTAACCTGTTGTTGGACCTGAAAGACTGGCAGGCTGTCATCTTCCATGTTTAGGTCAAAGGGTTATTTAAGAAGGAGGTAGTGTATTTCAAAACGTACACACTGTAGAATTTAGCATCAGTCTATCATTGATCTAATACTAAGATGTTTGTGGACAGGGCAGTGAAAAGACGGGGACCCAGAGGTCTGTCTCATGAAGCAGGACAAGTGTGTTGGAGTGTAAAGTCTTAAGCGCACCTTGTTGTTCTCGGTGTCAGAAATCCTGCTGAGTTATGTGAACCAACAGAGCAGAGCAAACCCTCACCGACATAGTGTGCGGAGTCATGTGTGCTTACAGGGTCTCTGTTAACAATTACACAACATTACATAAAAGTGTCATGTAGCAAAGAGCTCAAAATGACAATATTACAAACTTGGTACAATCACTGTTTTTCATTAAGATGTTAGTAGTTGGAGTTAGCTTAAGGTTAATATTTGTATTATTAAGCAGATGTCCCACAAAGACTGTAAACCTGTCTCCAAAAGAGCACAGTGTAGATAATTGTTAGGTACTTCCTGTTGTAAATAAAATGTGCTTTTTCCTAGAATTTGTATGTGCGTACACTAAACACTGCAGCCTTGTTCAGTTTGGACCTGAGGATAGAGAGATTCAAAGTATCAGCCTCACCTTTATCAACCCATTGGCTATTTTTACAGCCGGAGAGTGTTGGCACTGTGAATGTTATCACTGGGGTTTCTGTGTGAGTGTTAGCATAGCCTTAGTAGTATTACATCTTTGTAATTTCAATCCAATTTTTTTCTGTTCCGATCCGATACATATGAACCGATACTGATTCAGATATTTTTATTATCATAACTAAAAGTGTTATTGTAAGGGTTGTTGTTGGTATTATGAGTAAGGCTACACAAAGCAGTAGTAAAACCAGCATTGCATTGTGCTGGCTTCAGTGTAAGCACAACACTGTACTTTTGATCACATAGAAGGAGCTGTTCCGTCGTCATGGAGACGATTTGTGGACACTTCCTACAGTTCAGTCTGAACGGCTTCAAAGTGAGACTGTGCAAGTTCAGAATGTTGTAAGTGTCCAACTTCTTAATCAGTGACATGGATTGGCGACTTAAGTCTGATATCCGATCTGTAAATAACGTCTATATCGGACCCGATACCGATATTAGATCTGATTGGTCCCATCTCTAGTGGAAAGGCATAGAAAGACCAGGCTGCTTTTACAGAAATTAGGGTTGTAACCCCAAGCATTTTTTTCTTCTTGTCTAAAGAAACAAAGTTTTTTTCGAAAAAGAAAAATTATCAGTTTAGGTTAGAGGGATATTTGACTTTGCTGCTTAAGATTTGGACATAACAAAACTGGCAGGTACTGCATTTTCTTAATTTTTTTTTTTTTTACTCTTTCGCAGTAGTTTGCTGGTCATAATATGGACAGCTCAAACTTTAGTTTTCTATTACCTTAACTTTCATTCATGTCAATCACATATTAGAGCCTACTAATGATGAATCAGATTCATCATGTATTGGTTGTTGATTGTTAAGATTCCTGTTCCTACTTTTTACATGTCAGTGATTATTCATATTATTTGTTATTTTATCATTATATACATTTTTTGAGTCACTAGCTAAAAGAAGTGATGGCTGCCTGATCTGTAAAAGCATAAAAGACCAAATGTTTTTTTTAGAATCAAACTGGTAGATATAGTAGTAAGAGTTGTTCAAATGCAGTTGTTTTTGACACTCAAACTTGGATATTTTGATTAGGTCAAGATTTATCAAATTGTTCAACATTGGAGAATGCAAAACAAATAAGCTAGAAGTGATATTTTGTTTAACAGTGCAAAACAAATGATCTGAAAATGTTTCAGCTATGCAACAAAATTATTTGTGTACTCCATTTTTGACGAAAGTGCAATAAGTAAGATGAATTGACTTATTCTTATAAAAATGAAATTAACAAGGCTCATTTAAGAATTTTTGTAAGATTTATTTTTGAGCTTGTATGCCTTTATTTTGAGAGGACAAGTGGATAGAGTAGAAAATTAGGGGGAGAGATTGGGGAATGATATGCCGGAAAGGAGCCACGGGTTGGACTGGACTTGAACCCATGGCCGCATGCTTGGAGGACCATTTATTTTGTACGTGGGGGGGCGACCTTACCGCTAGGCCAGTGCTGCCCTATCATTTTAGCATTTTGATTAATATTTTCATTGGTAGGTGGAAATAATTTTATTGTGTTGGTTGTTAAATCAAACTGTTCCAATATTGAAAGTCCTCCTATTTACACACACACACACACACACACACAGCCTATGAACCAAACATGTAAATAGTTGTATGTATTATAGTATTTATAACTGTAAGTAAAACTCTGGTTTCCAAAATGTTTATAAATGTTGATGTTTATAAATGTGCCTTTCTTTGGCACAACAAACCTGTGTCTATGGGTTGTAAAAGTCTTTTGTTCTTTGCAATGATTTTTTGTATCACCTTGGGTGCTTTAATCTACCTTCTCTTGCCTTCAAATGATATACAGTTAATATGTGCACCTCTGTATACAAGAATCATAACAATGCCTTTTCACTGAAGATGTATTTTACCTGTGTTCTCTTTGTTGCTCTGTTTGGAAAATGTTGTTTTCTTTACACTTGTGCCTACAGTCTTAGATACAAAAGACTAATTGATTTTGTTTATATTGCATTATTCCGATTGTTGAGTATCTCATAGAGTTATGCAATGTAAATGCAAAGTACAGTGTCGGACAAATCTTAAGTTATCAACTGTTGGATAATTGTACTGTTGATAATAAGGTATCCCTTTGTATTTATTGGTGTTTTTCTCCCTTGCATTGTTGCAAACCAATAAACATGACTGGGTTATGAAAATGTTGTATTCTTTTATAATTTTTGCATTAATACGAGACTGCACTGGATAAAGTGCAGGCTCCATCATATCTTAAAAAGCTCATAGTGCTGTATTACCCTTAAAGAAAATTACGCTTCTAGAATGCAGGCCTGTTCATGGTACCTACAGTCTCTAAAAGTAGTATGGGAGGTAGAGCTGTTATCTGGCCCCTCTCCTTTGTAATCCTCTACTAGTTAGGGACCGGGAAGCAGAACCCTCTCGACTTTTAAGAGTAGGGTTAAAATCTTTTTTGATTAAGTTTATGGCTGGCTCAAATTTGGACCAGCTCCTAGTTATAATGCTATAGCTAGATTTTTTTTTCTTAGATAACACTTGTTATGTATTGGCACTATACAAATAGACATAAGTACAAGTTAGAAAAAAATAATAATAACCAAAAACTGTCAATTTTAAATTTTGGAATTGTCAATAAAAGCTTTTCTTGTCAAAGGACTGTCATATGCTGTGTTTTATTACATGACAACTAAGCAGATGTAGAAAAAACAGTTGAAAGTTCATAAAGCGGAAAAAAGACTTGAAGTAGAAGTCATTAGACATTTTATTCTAGGTCTGTCATAAAAATGCAGACCTGCTTGTAGTACCTACAGTCTGCATCTGTAGATATGGCATATGCTGTGTTTTATTACATGACAACTAAGCAGATGTTAAATTATAAAAAATCATAGTATATCAAGTTGTATGTATGTATGGAAAATCATTGGATTGTAAATATCAAATATAGTATCATAAATATAGTATAGCAAATTGTATATAGATAGATAGATTGTATATATAGACAGATGATAAGGAACACAGGAATTTAATTTAATAAATATTAATTATTGAGCTGTGGAAAAGGGGTAGGATTAAATAAGTTTTATACTTCCTACTCCTTTTCAGGCATATCAGTTGAATATATGTAATTTGCTTTTTCTTTTTTTGTGAAATAATTTGAACTTTGTTTTTTGTTTATTGTATTTTCGTGCTTTTCATTTTGTTTTGTATTTTTGATATGTTTGATTTTATTTGATATGTCTGAAATAAATTTAATAAATCAATCAAAAGAAATGTTTAAAAACAGTTGAAAGTTCATAAAGGGGAAAAAAGACTCGGAAGTAGAAGTCATTTGAGATTTTATTATATTTGTTATGATTTATTTTTGTACTAAAACTATTCTACTCTTTTCTACCACATTCGTTTTTTGTCCTTTACAGTTCCCTTGGCCAATCAGATTTATCTTAGTTTAGTCGTTGTCCAATCACCGCTGAGCTTGTTAGATTGTTACAGAGAGCAACAAGAAGTTTTCAAAATGGGGCTTGAAAGTACTATGGTTTGGTAAGTACTCAATTAAATGCATTTTATAGTTTTTATTTCTTGAGTAGCCATTCATACGAAGAGGTTAAATATTAATTCCTTTAGGTGGACTTGAGAATAGAATTTATAAATGTGATCTGGGATCATAAATTACCTTTTTACGGTTAGCGTGCTAACGTAGTGTCAACCAGGCTGAGTCATTGTAGCCACATTAGCTCACATTTACGGTCTAAATAAAGTCATCATTTCGCTTTTGCGTACTCGTCCGTATTCATTAATGTTGTTATTGGTGACGTGATGCCTTGAAATAAAATAAACAACTGACATCACTGTTGATTTGATTGTTTTGTCTTGCAACCAAACGCTTGCTAATATTAGCAACCATGCTAATGTTGTTTTAATGTTTTAATGTTGTAACCCTCAACATGTGTTCACGACACAGACTGTTCCAGGTGTTGTTGGTTGTGAATGTGAACTGAGACATCGTACTAACATGAACTATTTGCTATATCGTTATTGTGTTTTGTTTGATATGTGAATGACATGTGAGCTGGATAGATAAGTGTAATATTTCCCCCTCAGTGTGGACAATAGTGAATACATGAGAAATGGAGATTTTCTACCAACGAGGCTACAGGCTCAACAAGATGCTGTCAACATCGTTTGCCACTCCAAAACAAGAAGCAACCCTGAAAACAATGTGGGCCTCATCACAATGGCAAAGTAATATCAACACCTCTCTTAGTTGTAGTTATCCTCTTCACACATAATAACACCAACAAGTAGATTTGTTTTTCAGTTGGAAATGATGGATAATTCTGGATGTTTGTCTTGCAGTAATTGCGAGGTCCTGACCACACTGACTCCAGATTCTGGGCGCATACTGTCCAAACTCCATGCTGTCCAGCCCAAAGGAAAGATTTGCTTCTGCACAGGCATCAGAGTGGCTCATGTAAGCATACAGGAGGTTTCTTGCTGTAATTATTAATTCCAAACTTTACAGAAGGGCTCTATCTGACAAGAACTTGATTTGTACACCTGGCTCTCCTAGGCAGCTGTCTTTAAATTCATATATTTGTGTTGTATTTTGTTCTGGTTAGCTGGCCCTAAAACACAGACAAGGAAAGAACCACAAGATGAGGATCATCGCTTTTGTTGGGAGTCCTGTAGAAGATAATGAAAAAGATGTAAGTTTAAAGTTTTTTTGACAATCCTAAAAATAGGTAAGCATACATTACAACTAATTTATAGGATAATACTTCATTGATCCCCAAGGGAGAAATTCGGGCGTTGCAGCAGCACAGACAAGAAAGCTCAAAATACACATTAAACAGAATAGATAAGATAAATAAATAAAATAAAAATAAAAACAGGGGGTATATACAAGTACTAAAATGAATGATGAAGTTAACTATGCAGGGAATTGAGACCGTATTTGCAGAGAATGACAAGATAAAGTGACAAGTGATTAAAGTGACTTGGTATGATAAATAAATAGCAGCAAGTAATGTAAACAGCAGAGAGGAGAGGCAGTGTTGTACCACAGTAATGCAGAGTGCAGTTATATAATATAATGTAGTATAATATAATATAATATAATATAATGTAGTATAATATAATGTAGTATAATATAATATAATATAGTGCAATATGAACAATATAGTGTAATATAATGAAATGTTATATAATATAGACTAATATAATAATATATTATAATGTACAGTGTATATATATATATATATATATATATATATATATATTGATGCTAGTGTTTAAAACAACTTTTTAAAAATCACTTTATTTGTGTGCATGTCCTTTCCTTCATCTTTTTTCATGCAGCTTGTTAAGTTGGCAAAGCGTTTGAAAAAAGAGAAAGTGAATGTGGATATTATCAACTTTGGAGAGGAGGTAAGAAGTTTGCGGATTTTCTTTCAAAAAAATTGTCTTAAGGCAGAATCATTTGGAGTATTATTATTGTGTTCTCTTGATTTCCATGTATCCATTCATAGATTGAGTTTTGAACTACTTTTGTCACAATTTTTCAGGAGGTGAACACAGAGAAACTGACTGCATTTATAAACACTCTAAATGGGAAAGAGGGGACTGGCTCCCACCTGGTCACAGTCCCTCCGGGGCCCAGTCTGGCTGATGCGCTGCTCTCCTCTCCCATCCTGGCTGGTGAAGGAGGCTCTATGATGGGTCTTGGAGCTAGTGACTTTGAGTTTGGTGTGGATCCCAGTGCTGATCCAGAGCTTGCCCTGGTAAGAATTATATAGACGAGCTTTCCATCAGAAATGTTGTCTATGATAACACATACTTGTAGTGAAGCATCTTACATTAAAAAAAAGCTACTTTATAATTATCAGCTGATTTAAAAAATAGCCAATGTTTACACTAATACACGTATATGTGTTGCTGTTTACACAATGTATTTAACTGGATAGTTTCCTTGGAACCAGTCTGAGGTTAGAAACCACGAATCCTTATGCAGAAAGCCTATGTGATGCTGGATAGTGGAATATAAAAAAAAAAACAGCAGTAAAGTATTTGTATTGTGAAGAAATTGCATTGATGAAAACATTAATAGGCAATGGGCCTCCTTAAAACAGGCCAGTATGTATAACGTTTTTTTAGGATTATGTTATGGAGTACATTTTCAGAAATATATCTTATGTTTGCATCCTATCCTAGGATTAGGATTCTACGGAATTTCCCTCCCGTCATGCTCCCACATTTTGGTAAATAGCAAAAAGTGCTGTGTTAATAGTCAATGATTAAAAAACTGAGATTTCAGGGTTTTTATTGGTACTTTATTTTTATGATTTATTTAGAGGCTTTTTCCTTTATTTGATAGGACACTGGGTAAGTAAGAAATTGGGAGAGAGTGGGGAATGACTTTCAGGAAAAGTCAGACTTGAACCCAGGCAGTCTGCTTGGAGGCTCCTTACATGGGGCAGGACCTAACTGCTAGGCCACCTGCGCCCACTCATTTGCCCTATTTGCTTTTTTATTCTTGCTCTCTCTCTCGAAAGTCTCTGTTTGTGTTTTTTAGGCCCTGCGTGTATCAATGGAGGAGCAGCGACAGAGGCAGGAAGAGGAAGCTCGCAGAGCTGCTGCTGCTTCTGCAGCTGAAGCAGGCGTGCCCACACCCAGCGCTGATGGTAAATGAAGTAGCTGCTTGCACTTAAGAGAATGCACTTATTATCAAATAAATATTAGGATTATATGGGATTATACATTTTAGTCCTTTTCAAAGTTTGGCTTGATTTCTGCACAGAATCAGAGGAGGCCTTGTTGAAGATGTCGGTATCCCAGCCTGAGAGCGGTGCAGCAGTGCTTCCTGACTTCAGCAGCATGACAGAGGAGGAGCAGATAGCTTATGCCATGCAGATGTCTCTTGCTGGAGGAGGTGAGTTCCATTTGATTGTTTTATCATTTTTAGCTATTGTCATTTATAATAGTCACACTTATTTGTTACACGTATTTGTTGGAATTACTGACGTAATGCCTTAATTTCTCCCTTTGCTTTGTAAACAGAGTATGGAGAAATGGACACAGGAGCTCCCATGGATACAGCAGATTCAGCGAAGGTGAGTCAACATACAATATTTAAAACTGTATAACAGTCTTTAAACGGAGCTCAGCTGGCACTAGTGTATTCTCAGTA